GACCTCGGTCAACCGTCGAAGAGTTTTAGGGTCGTATCCTTCAATTACATGTCATAACAACTATATTCCATGCGACACTATTTCTTGTATTCTTTTTGTATTATTCGAAATAGATGAGGACATACGTCTCACTGTAATGGTTCTCGAGCCACGTCATCAATATGAAGGCTAATATATATTTTCCTAACGCACACTTCCATTTCTTAGCTTTTACTTCAGAACTTCAGATATATTTTATTGTAAAATTACAATAGATTCTATAATTCTAGTAATCTATTTTCTCACACCATAAAATTGTATAGAAGAGCCTAGTATTTATAGGGAACATGTAGAGGATATCCAAACCCTCTTAATAGAATTGTTGATGAAGTAGAATATAAAAAATTGAGTCCAAAACAAATTCAAACTCCCAATGTGCTTCCAAAATAGAACTTCAACTTGATATAGGACTCCAATATTATTCCAAACTGAATTCTTCTTGATACACTTCAATTATAATTCTTCAATTACTTTAACAAGGAATTTGATTCACACCCCAATTCTAACAGGTAGTAAGAGCTTCGGATATATTTTCCTAATGCATACTTCCATTTCTTAGCTTTTACATCATATACTTATTTAATGGATCAAAATGTCCTACTAGGAAAAGTTATAATGTGAAATTTTAATACTGCATAGGGCTTGAAATTACCAAAAGAAATTGAAATATCTTGGCCTCATCTTAGTTATTTACAGGATAGTATACAAAATTTATATAGTAATATATAATTATCTAATAGGAAATTTCTCCATAAGTTGGTTGACCTAATATATAGAGTATGGTTTCAATTTTGTATTTAATATATTTTTCAAATTAATAAATTAAATTTTTTCCTCATCCTATAGCATTTTATGTATCTGCTACCATTAGTTAATCACCATTCTCCTTTCTTACAGCATAAAATAATTTGCATCAATTGAGCTTTCATACTTCCCAGGTTATGAATTCATGAAAACGAATGAACAAATACTTTCTTTAGCAACGGTTTTTCGCTGAACAAACAGCGACTTCATTATATATATATTAAAAAAAAGTTTCGCCGTCGAAAGTAAAATTTATTGTAGAACGTTCATGAATAAGCAAAAATAATGACATGATGCTGCCTTCTAATTAATAAAGAAGCAGAAAAATATGGGCTGACCTTTTCACCATGCGTTCCTTCGATTTTTCAATAGCAATTTCTTCCATTGACTTCATTCCAAAGCAGAAATTAGTAGAGAAACCTTTCTAATTTAGAAATTATTCTTCATAGGGAGTACTTTCGTAAGAATGAAACTCAAAGAGAAATCGCCCGTTATCCTTTTTTTTAAGGATAATGATGGTTGTACATCAAAGTCTGTACATCAAGGGTTACACCCCCTCACATGAGGGGTGAGATCCACTGAAATAATATTTTTTATTCGAGTGGACCCCACCCCCCATGTGAGGGGGGTGTAACCCCCGATGTAAGGCTCGACGTATCACTAGCATGATCGTTTTTTTAATTGCATCCTTGTCAAAATAATTTATTGCGCGTTTCTTGTTCCGTTTTATTGGAAAAAAATTAGGATTTCCCACAAAATCACATAAATGGCGTAGCCCTGCCTTGAAGTGATCACTAAGGATTAAAGCTGACAAATTCTGAGATTGACATAAAACAACTGATGGCATGATTACGACTAGAAATTCATTTATTTTCAAATGGATCCATTTATTTGAATTTGGAAAAAGAATCTGCCAAAAACTTTAACAAATATTCTTTCAAAATCTTACAAAACAAGAATTGAATCTCATGATCGCCATGCATAGCCCTTGTTTGGTTCGGATTAAAATCTGATTTTAATCTCAGTCAAAGTCAAACTATCAATATTAACCACATTTTTCATGGGTCCCACAATTTTTCAACAACACATTTCAAAAACTTCTATCACAATCTACTAAAAATCTAATTTTAATCCCCATCAAACATCCTCATAAAGATAAAAGAAAAAGAAATATAAAAATGGTATCTGTAATTAAAATCATCATTTAATCATAAACTTCTTACATGGATTTCTGTCTTACTCTTATCCTTGAAGATTCGCTAGTCGTTTTCTTGGCCTTGTATACGCACCTACTAAGTATACCAATGCGCGCACAGGCCGTGCACGAAAGGATATATAAAAGAGGAAGTCACTGTTTAAGTTACTTGTTATGGAAAATAGTATAACCCAGAAAAAAATAATAGTCACCAACCAAACTATCTAACTTCATTATCATTTCGACTTTTGATATGGTTGGATTAGTTGTTTAAAAAACTTTATTAATATAAGATTGATAGCAATGGAACAACAGCGACCTATGACAGGTCAAGGGTTTGTAGAGAGGGATATATGAGATGATATGCAAATCAATTAAATTGAATGGAAATTCTAACCGATATTCTTTCAAAATCGCCGTTGGAATTTATAAGTCAAATCTTATTCGATTATGAAAAGAAGGGTGTAAAATTTATACTAATCGTCGTTGGAAGTTGAGTTCAGGTCATTCGAAGGCAACGAACAACTTTGGGGTTGTTTGTTTCTGATTCTCAAAATCAATTTTCATTTTCAACCACACATTCTTCAATAAAATAATATTTTCCATCACATCAATAATTTTTTTTCTTTTTCAACCACACATTTCCCGTCATCCATTATTCAAAATCAATTCTTCCACCAAAAATCCCTACTAAACGAACACTTTATCACATGTAAATTCTAGTAACTGCAATTAAAGTTCCCTGCAAAGATTTCAAGTGCATCAATACAACACTTAAGAAAAATCTTTCTAATTCAATTACGTCTACAAACTTTATATTGTTATCTAATTCAAGAATTAGAGAATCATTATTCAAGACAGTTGACATAAATTAATGTCGACATTTTATTGATGATAATTAACCACAATTTGATTTATAAAA